CATGGTGGGGGGGACACCAGTCCCCATTCCCCTGTGCTGCTCTTGGGGACCGTGGCCTGTCCTTTGTGGTGACCTGAGCTCTGTCCCAGCATGGCCACCAAGGGACTGGCCCCAGATGCCCCCAGAGGGGGGTAGGGGGGGTGTCTTCAGCTCAGTGTCCCCCTCCTCGGGGTTCATGGCAGCCCCCCCGGGGGACACCCGGGGTGTCCTACCTGCTCATTGCGACATTGTGTTCATAGTGGTGATGATGATGATGATGATGGAGTCCTGTGGTCTGATCCTGGGGAGGGTCCCTCATCCCCCCCACCCCTCCCCGGGCCACGCATCCATTTTGTACAAGTGACATTTTCTACCTGTGGGGCCCATTTTATTTATGGACAATTTTTAATTCTGATGTTGTTACAAAAATTAAAATATTTAAAAACACCAAAAAAACCCCCCAAGTGGCTCCTGGCCGGTGGCCTCTGCTCCTGTCCCCGGGTCACATCCTGCCACTGGCCCAAGGTGGGAGGATGGAGGTGGGGTGCTGGGGTGACCCTTGTGGTGCTGCTGGCAGAGTCTGGCTCTACCTGGCACCGCCGGGCTCCCAGGGACGGGCCCGTGTCCTTGGTTCCACGTGGGGACAAGTGTGGGAGGTGGTGACACGAAGGGTGCGGGGACTGATCCTGGCCATGGCCCAGCCAGGGTGACCTTGGGACAAGGGACCTCATTCCTCCTTGTCCTGCCATGGGGAAGGAGCTGCCACCTTCCTCCTCCTCCTCCTCATGTCCAGCCCCAGCCCCCAGGACCAGCCTGTCCCTGTGTCCCCAGCCCCCCAGTAAAGTCTCTCTCCTGCCACTGGGCCAGCAGGTCCCTTTATTCAGGGATTTCCACCCCTCCAGTCTCCTCCCAGTCTGTCCCAGTGATCCCAAGACACCCTTGAATCACTCTGGGTGATGCCAGGAGACACCCCAACCTCTGTCACCCTGCTCCCAGCACGGGCTGGCACCCCAACCTCCCCCCTTCCTCTGCCCCACACCGGGGCTCCAGCCATCCCTGTATCTCCCCAAACACCCCCTGGGCCATGGAGATGGGGTGACCTCTCCAGCTGCCCGAGGTCCTGTTCCCACTGCCCTTGCTGGCACTGGGACCAGTATCTGGTAGCGCCTGGAGATCCAGGTGAAGATCAAGCAGGTGATGGACTGGATCCCCACCAGCAGGATGAAGTAGTGATCCATGGGGCAATGATCCATGGGGCAGCTGTTGACGTTCCCTGCGAGCAGGAGGGTTCTCAGAGCCAAGGGTTGGCCCTCATGACACCCCTATATCCCACACCCCATCCCTGTTGGCCACAAAGGCACCTCAAGCAGGAGGTGACACTTGTGTCCCCATACCAGCACTCACCATAGTCCTCTGGGAGCAAGAGGAGGGTCAGCCCTGACCCCAGCAGCGATCCCACCCCAGAGGTGAAGAACAGGACACCCATGGTGGCTCCTTTCATGGACTCAGGAGCCTCAGTGTAGGCAAACTCCAAGCCTGTGAGAAAGCAGAGAGAACCCAGGGGGAGGTTGGAATCCCTGGAGGTTCCTCCACCAAACCCTTTGGGGTTCCTCCACCAAACCCTTTGAGGTTCCTCCACCAAACCCAAGGGAGAGGTGGGCACCACTCACTGGAGATGCTGGTGAAGAGCTGGCTGATGCCCATGAGCAGGTACTGGGGGACCTGCCACCAGACAGGCAGGGTGGCAGCCAGGTAGTGGTCCTTGCCCATGAGCTGTGGCATCGTCTGGTTGTGGCGCACATACTGCAGCCGTTCCCGCTCCAGGATGCCTGTGGGATGGGGGGAAGGGGCTGAGAACCCACCAAGTCCATGCCCATGGCAACATCCCACCCCAGCTTGGGTCCTACCTGCTGCAAGGATGGAGGTGAGGCTGAAGAACGTGCCCAGGGTCATCTGCTTGAGGGTGGAGGGCAGGAGCTTCTGCCTGGCCAAGAAGGGGTCGATGACATGGTCCTTCAGGGGCACCAAGACCAGCAAGACCAACACGTTGGCCAGGAACAGCCAAACATCTGGGAACTGTGGGGTGGAGGCAGGTCAAGCCCCAGCCCTTGCCAGTGACCAGGAGCTCAGCAACTCATGGGATGTCCCGGCTCCCACCCACCAGGTCCATGAAGCTGCTGGCCCCATCCCTTACCGTGTAGCCCTGGAGGGTGCTGGTGTGGTCCTGGAAGATGTTGGGGATGTGGAGGTGTAGAGCTTGCAGGTGATACAGCGACTGCATCTGAAAGGCAGTGAGATGGTGGCTCCATGGGCTCAGGTCCTGGATGGACCCACCACCACCACCACCAATGGTCCCTGACTGGTGCAGAGCCCACCCTGCACCTCACCTGGAAGTAGACCATCCATTGAGGGATGAAGGTCAGCATCACGGGCAGGATCCGGGCCAGCACCTGGAAGTTGGCAAGATCTTCCTCGGGTGAAGGGGCTCCTGGTTGGGATCTGCTATTGAGGAGAGGGTCCTCAGCTTCCCACCAGTGAGTGCTGAGGAGAAGGAGAGTGTGGGAAAGGGCAGAGCTGGGGGGCTCAGCCCCACACAGACCCCCTGTGGTGGTTTAACCCAGCTGGCAGAGCCATCCTGGAAGAGGAAGAGCTTGTGAGAGCCCAACACAAGGAGGATCCAGTCAATCCTCATCAATGGGACGTTCCATGACGTGGAACATGCCAACCTGGGTTTGCTAATGTCCATATTCCCTCCCCTGCCCAGTCCTCTGCGCCTGCAGACCAGCAAAACACGGGGAACTTGGACAGTCCTTGATACATCAGTGTGTCCTCAATGTTCTTCTCATACCAAATCCCCCAGTGAAACCAAAACACAGCGCTGCTCTAGCTACTGAGAAGAAAATTAGAGGGGACATCAGCCTTTGTTTCCTCCTCCTCCTCCAGATCAGTTATAAAAGCTCTTGAGAATTTTAAATACCCTTGGGATGCCCAAACATCCAGCACCCTGTCGCTGAGTGTGTGTCAGGCTGTGACCTTGCTTAGATCTGCTACTGCTGCAGATGTCAGTGTCGTGCTGCCACGTCAACCCCTGTGACCAAC